TAGGAACTGGGAATGTAAAGGACACTGTCCCAACCCTTCGGAAGCTTGTAACCCACTGATGCTTGTGGACCAGTGTACAGGAAAGTTCCTCATCCGGTGGCATGGGCTCTAACAGGAAAGTACAGGGTGCTATGGGGACCTGCTGGGGGACACACCTGTGGGAACATCAGGAAAAGCATCGGGAGAAAGAGACTTCTTTTTTTTTTTTTTTTAAAGGAACACAGTTTCTATCTACTACTTAGTAAAAAAGAATGCATTTTTTTTCCTTTTTGTCTTTTTTACTGACCGGTAACGGGATCACAACCCTTGGTGTTGCGCCCGCACTGCGCTCAGCCAGTGAGCGGGAACCGGTCTCCACATGGGATCCGAACCCTCGGCGGGAGCGCCGCTGCACTCACAAGCGGCGCACTCTCCAGTGCACCACCGGGCCGGCCCGAGGAAGAGACTTCTAAGCTGAGATTCCCAGCTAAGAGGGAGGAGGTGGGAATGAAACAGGCAAAGGGGACAAACAGCATATGCCAGGAGGGTGCATGGAACATTCAGGGAGCCCCGAGCGCACAGGCAGGGACTGAGGACAAGAGGTGGAAAAGCATGAGTGAGGGTGGTGATGCTCATGCAGGGAGGACCTTGACTCCACCCTGACTTAGGTGGAAATAGCTCGTCAGTTTCAGTAACAGAGGACTTGTGACACACATCACAGCGGATTGCAGAATAGCCTTGAGTAGCGATTCTGAGGGTGGGAATTGCTGGGGAGGAGGAAGCTGGAAAAACGTTTGTCTATGGAGGAGCAGGGAAAAGTAGGCCAGAGGTGGAGAATGACTTGGGTTTGGGGTGTTTTTTATTTTGTTCTTAAGATGGGAAAGATTTGAATACTGTCAGGACTGATGGGAAAGAGGCAGGAAAGAGAGGTGGAAGAGGAAGACAAGGGATCATTTCCCCCAGAGAGGCTGGTCCCAGAGGAAGGGAGAGGGGGTGGGAGGAGAATTACAGGAGGGAATCTGGAAAGTTGGGTGTGGATGCAGGTCAGGGAGGGGTGTGGTGGTCCTATCTCAAGGCTTTTGCTCTTTGAGATGTAGGAGAGGAGGGATTTGTGGGTAGAATGTCACTTCATCCTGACTCTCCTTGCTTAGGCATCAGGACCTTTTCAAAGCATGACATGCAGCAAGAGTCAGGGCCGAGGCAGCGAGATGGCACGCCAGGGGATGTGGACATCATTGTGCTCAATGGAGTCCACAGTCTGGCTCTGCTGGGATTGGGTCCTGAGGGCGCTTGTGACCCATTGTCTCTTCCTTGCTTGACAGGAAGTCCGCCGAGGTCTGGACCTTCTCAACAGAGAAAGTTTGCAGGGAGTGCCTACCAAGTGAGCCTGTGAGGTTCACCTCTCTTTGTCCTCTTTCCTTCCACTGTCCATCCTGCTAGCTCCCCACCTGGAACCACTGTTGCTGTCAGTCAGGATCTCTGCGGGAAAACAGAATCAACTCAACTCAGTGCCTTTAATGAAGGCGGTGCTTGTTGACAGAGGTGCCAGCAGGCTTTAGGGAACCAGCACCCAGAGAGGAGCAACACTGAGAAGCTCAGGCTGAAGATGCAAGAGGAGGAGATAGTGGTATGGAGCCAAAGGAGCCCTGGAACTTGGGAGGAACGAAGCAGGGAGGAGCAGAGAGTATGTGCCGTGACTGCTCTCTCGTCCTGCCCTCTGATCTGTGGGCGCTTCTCATTGGCTGAAGCCAGAGGGTGAAGGGGCCCAGGTGGTGCTATCCAGACGTCGGCCTCCTGGGGCATACACTAGGGCAGAGGTGGGGGAAGGGGAACAACCAGCTCAGCTGTCACCTGGCCACAGCCAATAGTGAATAAACCCTGCAATGCTATAGTTTCTCACCAGTCAAACAGCAAACATCTTATGATAATACCAAGTGATGGCAGGTGTAATGGTTTATTTCGTGTCAATTTGGCTAGGCTCTGGTGCCCAGCTGTCTGGTCAAACACTAGCCTAGATGTTGCTGTGGAAGTATTTTGTAGATGGGATTTCAATCAGTTGAAGAGCAAATATGGGGGCTTCCTGAAGAAGGGATTCTGCCTCAAGACTGTAACACAGAAATCCTATCTGAATTTCCAGCCTGCTGCCCTGTGCGACAAATTGTGAACCCCAGACTACATCAACTTTTGCCTGAGCGGTCAGCCTGCCAGGATTTTGGACTTGCCAGACACAACAATCAAGTGAGCTAATTCCTTAAGATAAATCTCTCTTTCTCTCTCTACATATGTATCCTGTTGGATCTGTTTCTCTGGAGAACCCTGGGTGATACTGCAGGAACGTGAGGAACTGGGAACTTTCATATGCTGTGAATAAGAGTGGAAATTGCCCATTTACAGGGCAATTTGACAGCATCCACCACAATTTGTGCACCTATGACCCAGACATTCCAGCTGCCCATTTCTATCTACAGCCTGGCTTATAAGAGCAAGTCACAGTAAACAATTTCATTGCCCATCAATAGGCAAATGGCTAATAGTCTGTGGTCGAATACTAGGTAATTAAACACTGAATGCCAGTGTTGGGGAAGGCCTTAGAGATAAGCTAGTAAGGCCCTCTCTCTTATCAGGCAAAGGAACAGGGGACCTGCAAAGGAGGGTGACCCACCCAAGGTCACAGAGCTGGGACTAGGCCAGTGCCCACATTCCTCATATGCATTGTTAGCCTCAAGCTTTAGTCTTGAGAGTGGCACTTGTCCCCCTTTTTGCCAGACTTCTTGTCTACTCCACCCACTGTACCCAGGTCCCATGAAGACCCTTGGGCAGAGGTCTCCCAACTGTAGGGCCCCACAGTCCCCCCACCTAAGGCCTCCCTTGGCTAATAAGACTGTAGGAAGAGAAGCCTGAAGAAAATCCACAGAAAGTCCACAGCAAGGCCCAGCCCAGGCTGAGGGATGCTGCCGGGGCTGCCTGGTACCCCTCTAACCTCTCTGGACAGAGGCACCAGGGAGGTCTGGGTTTCTTGTCTTCCTTGAGGGTGCCTTGCTTATCTTGGCAAAGGGGACCAATCAGGAGCCTGTTCCTGCCAGCCCTGGTCCCAGGGAAGCTTTGGACACTCTCTCCCCATGAAGGCAGTGATGACCACTACAGGAACTGGCTCAACCAGGGCTCCACACCTCCTACTTCTCCTTATCCCACCCAAACCCGTGTCCCCCTCCTACAAGTGAGCTGTGCTTGCGGAGGTTCTAGCTGCCCAATCTGATAAACTCATTTGGGCAAGTCACACAATTTTATAGGTGAGCCACATCCATAAAATGTTACAGAATTGCAACGGGGAGTCCATGGGCTAACTTATATGAAGTTACTTTGCAAATTCTAATGTGCCACAGAGAAATGAGGACTGATTATATTACCTCTCCCAGGTATTTTCACATGGTCACAAAGGCCTCCTGAGGATAGTAAAGGCTTATCTCAGTGTTTCTCAAATAGCCAGCCACCTACATCTATTTTAACAACCTCCAGAGTGATTCTGATGCACACTAAAACTTGAGAATCTCAGCAGAGAAGTGACTGTCACAGTTAAATTTCCAAGGGTAGGTTGGAATCGTGGACTATTACTCAGCCCCTGGAATGCAGCCCCTGAGAGGCACCTACTTTGCTGAGTGTAAGGTCAGCCCCAAACTCTCAGGGAATCTTAATTCTCCTCCTCCCCATCTCCTATGGCCAGGAAAGGGTCCAAGGCAGTGATGTCTGTAGCAATGGCGTCCAGAGCCCTCTCACTACAGGGAACAGACAGGCTAGGAGGTGCTAGTCAAGGAAGGTCAGAAAAACACTCCAAGTCTTGAAAACATTACTTTTTAAAAAAGCATTTTTGGTTATTTGGAAGTCAGTATGGAAGGTATATGGGTTTGGGGACTCCACCCCAGCAATAAAGTCATAAACATAGGGTGGGAGGTGCGTTCTCCAAGTATCCCTTCCTCTAGAGCAGAGGTTGGAGCTCAGGACTGAGGCCCCAGATTGGGCAGGAGGGGAAGGAGAAAAAGGCCTGAGAAGAGGGGAGCAAGGCTGAAGCTGGTCCTAGAAAACAGGTTCAGAGAAAAGACATGACAACATGAAAAGGCTATCTCCCCACCGACCCTCAACTTGACCCTGTTCAAGCAAGCCTGGCTCCCACTACAACCCTCCAGCTTGCATGGGTTCAAAGGGCAGCAGCAGCCTGTTCTGGGGGTGCTGGGGAACAGAGGAAAGGACTGCCCTACAAACCCCCTCCCTCTCCCAGGCCTTTGAGGAAGGATCTCACCCTCCCTATCTCCTCCCCCCCTAAGGAACTGGGTCCCCTCTGGGACCCAGGAGACTTTTCCACAACTGAAACACACCCTGTCTCTTGCAGGAAGCCTTCCCCAGTAAATGCAGCCTGCACACTGCTCCTTCTTGAACTCTCCGGTACCCTGCCCAGCACTTCCTTTTACAGCCTCCCTATACTGGAAGACACTTTGGAATGGAAGAGCCTTCCAGCTATCTGGTTTAGTTGTCTCAGGTTTATATGTGAGGGAATGTCTATTCTTTTCACTAACAGTAACAATATTAGTAATAAAGGCTAACACGGTATACACTATGTGCCAGGCACTTGACATGCCTGAATTCAGTTAAGTCTTATAATTAAGCTCACTTTATACCTCAGACAGCGAAGGCACAGAGAGTTAAAGTAACTTGACCCAAGATTACACAGCAATTAAGTAGCAGGGCCTAGGTTTGAATGCTGGGAGTCTTGTTCCAGAATCTCAACGTCATTTATTGCCTTCGTGCTGGCTATTACTGAGTGGCTTAATATGGTCGCACCTATGTCTGCCTCATCTTCTTGAGTGCAGAAATTTTATCTCATCTTTCCGTGGTAACACACCCCTGCTTCTCCTCCCTCCGTACAAACTGCTGTAGAAGTTAAGACTAGTCACTAACAGGGTATGAGGACATTCCGACACCAGATGGCAGCACTGGCCAAAACTTCCCTCAGAACTCCAGGTCTAGAGTTGTCAGTCAAGTAAAAACTTAAACTTTTATTTCTGGTACAAATGATAAATACTTTGCATTAAAAATCTGGAATTCAAGTTTTCCTCATACTTCATGCTCCCCCCCCAAACCACCCCAGACCCTTACAAAAATACTTCTGTTTAGAGGGGGAAAGAGCTGGCACCTGCTCTAGGCAAAGTCCAGGCTGGGGAAAGGCACACATGGTCTGTGTTGGTGGTGGGAGGTCTCCACCTGCCCTGCATGCGGCCTCAGGGCCAGAAATGAGAAGAATGTGCTGTCATAGTAGGTCCAGGGGCTCTGGCACGGTCCCCACAGCCCCCTCTTTGAAGGTACTGATCCCCTCAGTGTTGGGGAAGTGGGTGGTGCAGAGGGCCAGCTCCCTCCGGATGTGTGGGAGGAGCGGAGTTGTGTGTGGGGCGGTGGGACAGGCATGGACTCCTTTTAGGATCTAATCCTTTACAGAGTTCAATAGAAGAATCACAGGCCATCACATTTTGGTTGCTTGCAAGTGAATACTTCAGGGGAGAGGGAGGAGAGGGGCGCAAGTCTGGAGAACCCCTTTCTCCCTCTCTGACCCCAAGGAAGGCATGGGGTGGGAGTGGGGGCTGCCTTCATGGGTGGCCCCCGCTGGGCCACACCCCTTTCACAGTCATGGCGGTGGGGCCAGAGGCTCCAGGGGGAGGCTGGTGGGAAGGGAAGGGAAATAAGGCCTCAGGTGGGGGTGGCCACCCCCTCTAGTGGCTGGGGGCGGAGCAGTGGCGCCAGAACAGCACCCCTAGATCCACCCCTCACCCCAGCCTGGCTAGGGGTCCTCATCCCAGAGACACAGCTGCCTCTGGGGCACATAGAAGTCGAAGCTGTAGCTCTTCTGGCAGCTACGGATGCCGCACTTGTAGGGTGCAGGCCGGTCACGGCTGTGGCAGTACTTGAGCATGCAGGGGTACCAGGCCAGGCTCAGGCCGTAGCGGCAGACACAGGGCTTCCCGCGGTCCCCCACCTGCCGGCAGCGAGGCAGCTCTGCCAGCTCTGAGGCCTTGGGCAGAGCCTCGAACACAGAGCTGTCTACACCTGGGAAGAGAGGCAAGAATCAGGGAGGAAGGGAGAAGGGGGGGGCTTCCCTAGCCAGGGCAGGGGCTGTTCCCTGCTTGGCCTCTTCAGTCGTCCAATAGGTATTTATAGTCACCCCCATCCCCGAGGCCGCCAGGGGGATGCAGCGGTAAGACAGACCTGGGCACTAGGCTCCTGGCTAGGCTAGTGGGAGGAAGAAATTAAGTAACACCCCCCCCGGGAGAAGGGGGGGGCTTCCCTAGCCAGGGCAGGGGCTGTTCCCTGCTTGGCCTCTTCAGTCATCCAATAGGCATTTATAGTCACCCCCATCCCTGAGGCCGCCAGGGGGATGCAGCGGTAAGACAGACCTGGGCACTAGGCTCCTGGCTAGGCTAGTGGGAGGAAGAAATTAAGTAACACCCCCCCCCATCTACTGAGTCCCAATTGTGTGCTAGGGACTCTTCATACAGCACCTCTTTCCACCACTCCATGGGCTAGGTATTGTCATCCCTGTTTTATTGATGAGAAAACAGCCCAGAGATGTTTAACTATCTGGTCAAGGTCACACAGTAAGGGTGGAGTCAGGACTGGAGCTCAGCTCTGACTTCAAGGTCTCCACTCAGCCATGCTACCACCCGATGCTTTAAAAAATCCCTCCACTGGAGTGTGCTGAAATAGAGGCATGGGGAGACTGAACAGGAAATCAAGGAAGGCTTCTTAAAGGAGGTGGAATTTGAGTAAGGCCGGGCAGGGAAGGGACAGCAGAGGAGGTCATGGTGGCCAGGGCTCAGGGCAGGCAGGAGAGTGTGCGTGAGGGGTGCTGGGGAAGACAGCAGCGACCTGGCCCTGGCTTGGCTCAGAGGTCGTGGGAGGAACCAACTTCCAAGGGATGCTAGTATCACACTTGTACTGGGGAGGGTGTGTGTGTGCAGGACATGCCCACAGTTCTGCTGGGCATTTCTAAATCCAACCCCGCCCTGGGAGGGGCAGGCATTTCTCTAATGCTCAGCTGGCTGAGTGGAAGGATGAGGGGCCTGGAATTGGGATGGTGACATCTCCCTGTCTCCTCTACATAGAGGACCTTTCTTGGGAAAGGTATCTGGAGATGGGCCAGTGTTGAAGTCACGTAGGTCAGAAAGGCAGGGACCACGCAGTGTTGGGAGTTCTCCAAGAGGGGGAAATGCTGGCCCCAGGGAAGGTGTGAAGCTCATCTCTGAGAGGTGGCAGCAGAGACGGGCAGGGGAAATGGGTGCCTGTGTCCCCTCCCATGACAGAAGGTCCCATCACTGCATCCTAGCTGAAGGCAGGAACAAGCAGAAGTGTCTGGGAATCTCCCTGCATAGGGACTAGCAGAATTTGTATGTCTCCACCTGGGATGGGTCCTTTCATCTGACTGACTCCTCACTGAACAGCTACACAGGCACCACTTCCTCCAGGAAGCCTTCCCTGACCAAACACAGCCTGGTTTAGAGGTCCCTCCCCTGAATACCCATAGCTCATCAGTGCCCTCTATCATATTTAACTCTTTACAGATCTACCCCCCTCACCCCCTTGCCAAGGAAGTGCCTGGGGGACAGAAACTGGATGACTACATCTCTGACTCCCATCTCTGTAGGTGCTCAATAAATGAACAGATGGAACAGCCACTCGGCTCTGCCTCCTTCCCTCCTTCCCTCCTTCCCTGCTCTGGGGCTGTCTCCTCCCTCGGCTTCCCTCTGCCCGGCAGTGGGCAGCACCCACCACCTGGCTGACCTTGCTCCAGCCAGAATCGGACATCCTCCTGGCGGGTGTAGATGGCTTCTGCGGCCTCGGCACACACGTTGTGGAGGTGGGGGCTCAGCAGGCCCCCCTGGCTGAAGTTGACCGCGATGTCCATGTGCAGCTGCTCCAGACCACGCTCCTCCTCAGCCTGTCGCACTGCCCGTGGGTTTTTCTGCGTGCAGGAGAGAAGCCACTCCTACCTGGCCTCAGAAGACTCCCTGACCATTCTTCCCCTGATCCCAGAGGGGGAGACAAGCCCAGGCTGGCTGCCGTCATAACTCTGGGGCCATCTGCAGAGTGGCACTCAAGGGGCACCCAGCCCCATCCTCTCCAACTGGCAGAGAAACTGAGGCCCAGAGTGGAGTCAGGCCTCAGCTTCTATCCAGAATAGTGGACTGTTCTCAAGTTATTTGCTGGCCATGGGGCTGACCTCTGGGGCCTGATAGAGAATTCCAAGGTGTTGTTGAGAAGTGGAGGTGGGTGGGCCAGGCAAGCTTTCCCAGGGTAAATGTTGTACTTTCCAACAGCCAGGGAAATGAGTCACTCTGGGAAGAGCAGGCAATGGGGAAAGGGAGGAGAGAGGGGAAGGGAGGAGGGCCCTAGGTAGGCCACTGAATAGGTTGGGGAGCTCAGGGAGGGTGGGGAGAGGCCCAGCGTCTAGGAAGGGACTGAGCAGATGGTTTAAGGGTTTTGAACACTATGCTGAACACATTACCTGCATTATGTCATTGAACTCTCTCTATAATCCAATAAGAAAACTGAGGCTTTGAAGGCAAGGTAACTTGTCCAATGTCACCTGACTAATGAGTGATGGAATGTGATGCCCGATCTGATTTCAGAGCCCAAGCTCCTAAACTCCATCGTACATGGGGAGGAGCTGGGACCAGGGGATTGGAGTAATCTGGGAGTTGGGAATTCAGCACAGACTAGAGATCTGAGGCAAAATCAGGGGGTTCAGGACTCTAGAGTGAGTGGGGTGACAGGCAGGGATGAGGGGTAAGGTAGGTCAGGGTGATGGGGCCAGAAACGGAATGAGGATGAGAAGCTGGGTGGGAGGCTGAGGTTGGACTGGGGACCAGTTTGGGGCCAGGTTGGATGCAGGGCTGGGGGCTCTGGGTCAGGAGCTGGGCCAGGGCAGGCCCTGGGTAGGCACTCACCTGCCGAAGCTTGGCCATAGCCTCACTGGGGATGATCTCATTGTGCTGTAGCCGAGTGACGAAGCAGAGGGCCTGGAACTGACTCTGTCCCTTCTCCAGCTCCCCCAGGATCAGGGCCCTGAAGATCTTCACATCCTGAGGGGAAGGACGGGAGGATGGGAGGCCAGTGGGTGTGAGCAGGCCTCCCCACCAGCCCACCTGGTGCTCAGCTTGGGCCGTGGAGAGGACATGCCTGGACATTGTCTGCAATAGACACCTCCCTCCTGCTGGTCTAGGAATTTTTATCTTTTCCATATAAACCCGTGACTTAAAAGAACACATCTCAAATGTTCCAAAGCCTCTTGGAAAACTGACAAAGTGAACCACTAGAGAGTTTTTCAAAAGAGGACCCTTTAAAAGTATAAAGCTTCACCTCGAAGAAAACAGCACCTCTTTTTGGCATCTGATTTATTCATAGCTGATGCTTCCCCCTGTGGAGCCCCCCAATGTCACCTTGATCAGGGTGGGTCAGGCCCCTACAACCACCTGACCAGGGCACCACAGGGGAGGGGCCACACTTTTTACAAGTACAGATTCCAGAGTTTCTCTCTCTGACATTCTTATTTAGTAGGTTTGGGGAGAGTCCTCAAAATGCCCCTAGTGCTTCTGATCAGCCCGGCTCCTGCCACCCACCTCCAATCAATGGGGGTAGGGGGACAGGATGGGGCTCAGGGAAGCTGAGCAGCTGGCAGCCTTCTGCTTGAGGCTGCTGATGGCTCACCTTTCCCTCTCCACCTCCCCTTTCTCCAATGGGCCTACTAATGGCATTGCCAGCAGACCAAGGGCTCCTTCCTGTTGCTGACTCACTGCGTGAATGGGGGTGCACAGAGGAGGGCAGAGGGAAAAAGGCCATAGGGCAGGATGGGGCCCCCTTTCCAATCGAGCTGCTGAAACTCCATGCTCCACCTATTCACACTGCTCAACACAGCCCCACCACACCAAATGTCCCCCCCACCCCATTGTCACCCATCTCTGAGCACTGGCTAACTCTGCTCTCAGTGAGCTGCTGGCAGGGCCCGGTCAGAAGTGGTCTAGATCTGTCAAGACCCATTTTGCCATGGAGGCCCCTTGGCCTCAATGACTATTCTCCAGTAGGAGCCTGGATGGCTCTGCACTGGCACTTAGAATATACAGTCCTGTGTAGCTATTCATCTTTCAACGTGTGTGCCCAGCCTCCCCCACTAGGAATGCCCCCGTTCCTCTGGAGCTTACTGTGTACCTGCTAGAGTAATACCATTAGTAAGGCCTGCTGGCAATGCCACCCATGTGGGAAAGAGAAAGTGGAGAGGGAAAGGTGAGCCATCGGCTGCCTCAGTCTAGGTGCTTTGAGAACACGGTCTGGGTGTCCCCCTTGGATTCAGGGTACAGGCAGTGAGGGGCCCACAGTTCCACCCCAAAGCTGCAATGGATTAGCTGGTGCCCAGGCTTTTCCCTCTACTTCTCTAAGCCTCATCTGTACAATGGGGATAACACATTTACCTGATGGGGGGGTGAGGACTACTAAGGGAAGAATGAATGCCTGCACAGACTAAGTGCTCAGCAAGTGCTAGTTGTGATGTCTGCTACCATTGCAGGTAATCAGCAAATGCTGCAAATGATCGGACACAAATGAGTGCCTGTCATCTCTCATCTCATAAATCCCCACATATTTCTGCAGTCCTTTAACTCTACAAGGAAGTTTCTCTTCCTTTTACTGTAAATGATCTCTGGAACAATGAGGCATGGGAGTATATGGGGAGATATTCCAGAAAGGGAAACCGAGGCCCAGATGGTAAGAAAGGATCCATTAGGTTCTTTATGATCTCAGGGACTTGTGAGGAAGGAGAATCAGAGCTCGGTTAATCTCTGCTTCCTCTTAACAGGAAATCCCTTCTTGGATCAAGATGCTGGAATCTCCTTGTCCCACCAGCCTGGGCCACCTGATCTTCCATTCACTCAGGTCGGCTGAGGGGAGACTGGCGGCTGGTCCACTTGTGGCATATTCTACTCCAGGCAAAATTCCTGCCAGGCGAGACTCGATACCCGACTTCCCCTGCTAGAGCTTGGGTCAGGCAGATGTCCCTGGCAGGATCCCCCAGGCAGGATCCAAAATCCACCTCCTCTGATCCTTTAAAAAGAACACTATATGGATATTCACAACATCTTCTCTGATACCACAGGCACATGCAACACCCTGTGGCCTGAGGGCTGCCGAGGGGTCTCAGTGCATGGTGACATGACCTGCCCACCATTAACAGGAGAAGTATTTGAACTTTTAGGCCAGATTGGAGGGTGAAAGAAATCTGTTTGACCCTTTTTCCTGTTTCTATATTAAATAATACTGTCAATGGCAATAACAAAATGCTACCAAAATGGGAACATGGCTGTGGGTGCAGAGAGGGAATGAAAATTTCTCATTGCGATAGATTTTCTTTTTCCTGTTTCTATATTAAATAATACTGTCAATGGCAATAACAAAATGCTACCAAAATGAGAACATGGCTGTGGGTGCAGAGAGGGAATGAAAATTTCTCATTGCGATAGATTTCCTCTGTATCTTCTATTTGTGCAGGACAAAGACTTATTGAAGTTTATATATGGAAGTGACTAATCATGGTTACCATGGGTCAAAAAGGATGTATCATGTTAATTAAAATCCTTACAACAGGAGGTAGGAACTATGATTATTACTGAATTTGGTTCGGGTAACTTGCTCAAGGTCATGGGACTAAGGGGAAACATAGAGATTTACACGCAAGCAGTCTGACTCCAAAGCCCTCTTAACCAGAATGCACAATTGCCTCCTCGACCAACCAGTCCAATTTCCTTGGTGTTCAGCTAAAAAAANCCCTTGCCACACAGCTGGAGGTTGGCAGAGGCAGTATTAGGACCTGGTTCCCTCTTCCATTCGTTCCTGTCTGTTGGCAGCCTGTAAATCCTCCATACACCTGCGGGGGAATGTGGCAGCTCCTGCTCTTGGTCCATGTGACTAACAAACAGCATGATACAAATAAGAGGGGACAATGAGGCAGGAATACCCTCCCAATCACCTGGCCGCCCTGCACTTCTTTAAACCCTGAATTCTCTAGTCTTTTCAGTCCTATTTCTCTGGAAAACCACATTCCACTTGCCGACCCACTGGCAGCCCCAGTTTCTGGATCTAACTATTTGGTAACAGGGCTCCATCATCCTGATCAGTGTCTTTCCCACCTTCTACTCCCTAAACCTCAGACTCACTAGCAAGGTTCCAGGGTCCCCTTTTCCTCCAACACAGAGGGAAGGGCAGAGTGCAGAACCCCCCCTGCTTCAGGGAACAGCTGGCCAGAGGCTAAGCACAGGCCAGACAGAAACCTGGCTCCCAGCCTTCCTCCTCACCCGGGAGTCCCCTGGGATGATTCACCTGGATCATCTCACGGTATGGCTAAGGCCTACAGCAAATGGCATAGCTGGGGAAGAGTCCATGGCAGAGGCTGGAGCCAGGCTCCTCAAGCTCAAGACTCAGGCTAGGACTCCCAAGATGGGAGGTTTCTATAAGGCTCCTTCTCTCATGAGCACCAGGAGCCTCTGACCAACAAGGAAGAAATGAAGTGAACAGCAAGCAGGCCCAGAACGTGGGCCATGCAGAGGGTGTGGCAGGTGCACCATCGAGATGGTGTCTGCTAAAGTCCTTGTCTATAGTTGGAAGTAAGGGGTAGGTAGGCTCCAGGAGAGCACAGCAGTTAAGAACAAAGGCCCTGGAGCCAGTACTACCTCGTCAGCTACTAGCCACATAACCTTGTGGGAATTTACTTAACCTCTCTCTACCTTAGTTCCCACATCTGCAAATTTCCACATCTGCAAAAGGAGTAAAACAATAGCTCCTACTTCAAGGGACTGTTGCAGGAAATAGATGAGTGAAAGGTCTCAGAACACAGTGGGCTGACCTCTTTCAGTTTCTCTCTTGTTTCTACAATTCCTGGCTCTATGCTTGTGTTGCTACAACCATAACCTACTCCAGACATGAAAAGGCAGGAGTAAAGATTTTTCTCCTACAGGTGCATCTGAGACCCAGACAGATCCCAGGCAATGTGGATCCTCCGGGGCTTGCAGGTAGGTAATCAGATCAGTGGGAGAGCATTGATTAGCATTAACTGAGGCAAGGCCTGCACCAGGCTGGGCATGGGAGTGGCCAAGAGCAAAGCCTCTGTCTTCAAAGAGAGGCTGACCTCCAACAACCAAAGTCAGTGTACCACGATAAGGCTGAGGGTTGAAGTTTTTGCTAAATGCTATAGGGGCAGGGGATGGATGGGGGAGTGCTAGCTGTCCCCTTAAGGATGGGGATAGAGGTGGAGTGAGAGGCATTTCAGTGGCTGACAGTTAAAAGATAGAGGGCTTTCCAGCAAAGACAGAGGTATTTACAGAAGACAGGGAGGCATAAGGGTCTCCTCATGCCCCCACCCAATCATCCCTCCATGCTACTGTCATCTGATTCTAATTCTCTTCAAAGGCTCCCTTTGTCCTCAAGATAAAGCATACCTCAAGTGGCTGCCCCAGGTCCCTGCCCACAGAGACTCTTGCATTCTCTGTGCACCAAACTGAAGAGCTTGCAGTTCCCAGGATGAGTGACGCTGTGTCATCCATTGCACCTTTCCATGACCCGAATCCTCAGCTGGGATGTCCTGTCCCATCCTCCCAGTGCTGCTCTCTGGCAGGGCCAATCCCAACCCCTGTCCCTCAGCATGAATCCCACTGAACAAACTAGAGCATGGAAAGGTTCTGACAAGGGTGATGGGACTGCTCCAGGGATGGGTGGGTTGGGGACGGATGTAGGGAGGGCAGTAAGTGGTTGAAGAAGAGGCTGGACATGGGTTCTGAGGCCCCAGACTAAGGAACCTGAGCTTAATCTTGTGGATCACTTCAAGTCATCAGTGGGTTTTTAGACTGAGGGTGACATGAACGGATTTGGGGATGAGAATTGAACTGGACTCAACTTGAGGTTGTGGCCAGGCAAGTATGCACCGGATCTAAATGCCCAGGCAGAGGGCCCCTGTCCTCCCTCAGCATGTTCTGTCCATGCCCTCCTGATCTGCCCCTGGCTCAAGGGCAGCGGCTCTAGCTTAAGTATGCAGTAGCCCCAGGGTCTGGCACACAGCTGGAGCTCAACACTTAGTAGCTGGGTGAATGAATGAATGCTCTAGGGCCTCCAACAAAAAGATGCTCACTCTTCTTGGCCTTGCTTGTAGCCAGGCTCCTGCAGGCTGGCAGTCCTACAGCTGCTGCCCTGGCTTCTCAAAGGTTTAGAGGATCATCTAGTTCACGGCCCAGTGAGGTTCCAGCAGGGGAAGTAACCTTCACAAATCACACAGCGGCAGAGCCAGGACCAGAAGCCCAGACCTCCTGACCTTCAGTCTAGTGACCTTCATGCTCTCCTGACATTCCTCTCTGTGCCCACTCCCTGCCATGCTTGCTGTCTTCTGAGACCCACCATATCTCCCAGAGAGAAGGTTG